ATACCGTATACCTCTGCTGTAGCAGACAGACAGAAAATATGACATCTGTCAAGAAACCACCCTGGCTTGAAACCACACTGGGGATCTACAAGCCTCTCCTCAACGTGCTTAATTAAGCGATGTTGAATAATCCTTGCCAGGACCTTTTCCAGAACACCTAGGAGGGAGATGCCGCTGTAATTGTTACAGTCTGTGCGGGCTCCATTCTTAAAGAGGGGCACCACCAGGGCATCCTTCCAAACCTGCGGAACCCGTCCAGTGGTCCAGACTTATTATTTTCATATAGGGCAGTCTGCGCACAAACGCCACCCTCCCTCAGCATTTCGCTTTGGAGATCATGTATGCCCGGTGCGTTTCCTGGTCTCAGACTCTCGATTGCCTTCTGTACTTCCTCAACAAATGGAACTTCAGCCCTACACTCACAGGGGGTGACTTCTTCCAATATTTGAGGCACCGCAGCCTCGGCAGGATCATCCCCACTTTGCCCCATGATGTTTTCCAGGCTGAGATATTTCCCCTCCGCCAAGACCTCACAGAAATGCTCACCAATTCTGCAAACCTGTTCCTGGGGTTCGGAGATCAGATCACCTTTTTTCTACTAATGATGGTGATAGTTGTGGTGCTGCAAGTTACTTTTTGATGGAGTTAAATTGTAATTTGTGATCACAAGCCACCGAGGCAGATTCCATCTCCTCAGCAACCCGCAACTACCACCCATCCTTGCAGCGCCTCACGGCTCTCCGAACCTCCGAGCGAAGGCTGCGGTAAGCCTCCTCATTCTCTGATATGGGATGCTGTCGGTGGTGAGAGTGGGCCTGTTTTTCAGCCAGCCAGAACACCTCCTCTGTCAGACAGGATATCTGGGAATGTTTGAACCGTGCACCCAAAGCAGCCATTACAGCTGCATGAGCCACACTCTTAAACCTCGCTCATTTCCCTTTGGCATCAGGAGGAGGAGGGACGATGCCAACCCCAGCGACAAGTGATGATGATATTTTGCTTTCAACTTTCATCAGCTAGCTGAGACTAGACCACTATGGGTTGGAATGGGGTCCTGAGTGTACACTCACCACCGGAGTGGAATAATGGCAGGTGCATCTTACAGATGACAAGCCGATGATCAGTGGGCAGATCAGCTCCACGGTAGGTCCTGGTGTCAAGGAAATGGGCCCACATCCGCTGTTCCGTCGTTGTATAGTCCAGTATGTGTTCTTGCTTGGACCCAGTGTGAATCTATGATGTGTTGATATGCCGATGCCGAAACAGCGTGTTGGCTGCACGAAAGTCGAGCAACCTCCTACCCTTGCTATCGTGCTGATCTGGCCCATGCCTTCCAATCACTCCAGACCATGTGCCAGCATCATGACCCACTCGGGCATTAACGTCACCCAACAGGATGACGCTATCCCAAAGGGCCACTTTAGCTAGCACCTGTGACAGGAGGTGATTGAAGGCATCTGACTCATCGGCCTTGCCTGCAACCCTCCACTGATGTTCATCTTCGGTGGTGGAATAAATAAGAACAATCGCCACTCCTCATCGCTGGTTGATTGGAAGGCAAGCCCACAGTAGCCTGGGACTTACAGCTCCCACATCTAACTTCATTCTTGTGTTCGGCAGTCTCCTGCCCCAATAGAGGACTATTCACCACTAGCCAGAGCTAGTCCACCGGACCACCTAAATACCGCAGAGATCCAGGCGGTACCGGTTCAGCTCCCGACAGAGGAGTGGCAGCCTCTCCTCCGCAGTGATCATTCGAATATTCCACGTGGCCACCTGCAGTGGCTTTTTGCTGGTCTTGAGGGATCCCGAGGGTAAGGATTCAGTCTCCTGGCTCCGCCAAATAAGGTTTGGCCAGGAAATGTCATAGACGCCTGTCCCCACAGGGCCTCCGGAACAAGTTTTGACCTACATTTTTCACCTGGTTTAGTGGTAAAAAAAATTGAAAGTGGAGGAGTTACCAGGCCCTCGGACCCGTAAAGATCCCCCGTTTGGCCGCTGTGGTGGCTACAAACGCCATGAATGGGTATCGCCGATTTTGGAACTGGCCTTCCCTCCATGGAATTGCTCACATCCACCACAGCGTTACCATCCAGCACAAAGACAAGGATCCCCCGTATAGCCTTAAAAGGCTGCTAAGCAAGTGCTGTTATTGAGCACCTATGAAGACCAGCACAGCACACGAGGGGGTGGGTGGCCAGCACCACGCCCGGCCGCCTTTATCTCCTCAGTAACGATGTTTACACACCACACCAGGTACTCATTTGAGGCTGAGTCGTCCTAGGGGAGGCCCAGGACCGGTTCAAATAATCGTCACTGGTTTTGGCCATGAGCGGGAATCCAGGTTAGTAGCGCAGTGTGATAACCACTACAATACCGCTCCCCACTAACACACACACTCTAACAACAACAACAACCGCTATTCGCAACTAAGTGGCGGTGATGTCACCACGACGCTGTGCCAAGCCATGTGCACCTTGAGGCCACGTGAAGTGTCGAACGCCCGCTGGCAGGAGGTCACGGGGCAGACCCAGCAGGCGCCACGAGTCGACTGACTGAGATGAGTGGCCGATGCACCACCTGTGCCCCCTACTGTGCCAACTTGCTGTGCTTTAGCCACCCGGCACTCCGCTCGTTGTGAGTGTCGCTCCTCCGCCCTCCGTTGTTGCTGGAGGGCGACTGCCTCCAACTGCTCAGCAGCGTCCTTCACGAGCCTCCTCCACAGAGGCCGATCTTGACACCGCTGGTACCAGTCATCGGCAAATCCACTCAGCTCCACGTCCTTCTGTACCACATCACTCCATCTCTTCTCTAGCCCGTGCTGCGCCCGTTTAGCCCCCTCGATCCGGCCGAACAAAAGCTGTTTAGGCATGCGGTGGCTGGGCATACGGGCTACATGACCCAGCCAACGCAGCCTTGCCTGCCGGAGGAGCTCACCGATGAGACTTTGTCTAGATTTTCCAAGGATTGTGAGCTCACGCAATCCAGCCTGGTTAAACACAGGATGGGTCATAGACAGGCCGGCCTAAATGTGTCTAACTGGCGAAGATGTTCTATTAGGGGTGTCCACGTTTCGCAAGCGTAGAGAAGGGAGGGCATGACTGTGGTCAATAAGACATGAAGCTTCGTGTGGAGCGACAGACTAGGTAGCTTCCACACAGCATTATGCAACCGATGAAAAGATAATTCCGCTCGACTGATTCGGAGTGAGACCTCTGCCCAGGTATGGAAAACTCTCCACTCTCTCCAGAACTGCGCCATCACCAATTGGGAGTTGTTTTGTCTCCTGCTTGTGCGTCTGTTTGTGTCCTCGTGTCTGTGTTTATTATCTCAAATTTAGCTAAGCTCGACCTGATGACGAGTGCTTGTGTTGCAATCGAAACGTCGTATTGTATTTTTTATTTTATTTCTATGATGACTTTACCAAAAAAACCAAAGAGTAATTCCTGCAGTCATGAAAGCTTCAAATCATGTTTTTTTATTTTGATGTCAAGTAGGTCAGTCTGTGCACGTACGCCACCCTCCCTCAGCATTTCACTTGGGAGATCATCTCTGTCCAGTGCTTTTCCTGGTCTAAGACTCTGGATCACCTTCAGTACTTCCTCAACAGATGGCACTTTAGACAGCCACTCACAGGGGGTGACTTCTTCTTCCAATATTTGAGGCACCGCAGCCTCAGCAGGTTCATCCCCACTTTGCCCCACGATGTTTTCCAGGCTGAGGGATTTCCCCTCCCCCAAGACCTCACAGAAATTATTAACAAATCTGCAAACCTGTTCTCGGGGTCGGAGATTGGATCACCGTTCTTTCCCCTAATGATGGTGATAGGTGTGGCACTACAAGGTACTATTTTGATCAAATTAAAGAGTGATTTGTGATCGCGGGCCACCAAGGCAGATTCCATCTCCTCAGCAACCCGCGACCACCACCCATCCTTGCAACGCCTCACGGTTCTCCAAACCTCCGAGCGAAGGCTGCGGTAAGCCTCCTCATTCTCTGATGAGGGATGCTGTAGACGATGAGAGTGGGCCTGTCACATTTTCTCAGCCATCCTGAACACCTCCTTTGTCAGCCAGGGTCTCTGGGGAGGTCTGGACCGTGTACCCAAAGCAGCCATTGCAGCTGCATGAGCCACAGTCCTAAACCTCGCCCATTTCCCCTCGACATCAGGAGGAGTGGGGGATGATGCCAACACTAGCTGCAAGCGATGATGAAATTCCCACTCGCAACTTCCATCAGTTAGCTGAGACCAGGCCACCTTAGGTTTGAATGGTGTCCTGGGTGTACACCCACCACCGGAGTGGAAGAATGGTAGGCGCATCTTACAGATGACTAGTCGATGGTTAGAGGGCAGATCAGCTCCACGGTAGGTCTTGGTGTCAAGGACATAGGCCCGCATCCTCAGATCCGTCACTATATAGTCCAGCAGATGTTCTTGATCGCACCCAGCATGCATCCATGATGTTGTGTGGATGTGTTGATGCTGGAACAGCGTGTTGGTAATTACAAGACCACTCTGACACACACACTCTAACTAACACACACACTCTAACAGACACACACACACTCTAACACACACACTCTAACACACAGATCACACACACACACACTAACACACAGACCACACACACAGCACACACACCGCACACACTCTAACAGACACACACACCCTATAACACAGACCATACACACACTAACACACACACACCACACACAAACCACACACACCACACACACCAGACTCTAACACACACACACTAACACACACCCACACCACACTAACACACACACACACCACACACTAACACACACTCTAACACACACTACACACACACTAACACACACTAACACACACACCACACACACACTAACACACAATCTAACACACACACACACCACACACACTCTAATACACGACTCCTACTCCCCACGTCTTCCTCCCCCCCTCTCCCCCTTGCCGAAGCTCTCTAAGCGCTGGTCAATTCCACTACCAAAGCGAACTCGACATCACCACCATCACCACCACTACCATCACCACCACCATCATCACCACCATCACCTACCACCACTACCATCACCACCCCTAATCACCACCCCATCACCACCATCACCACCATCAACATAATCAACATCATCACCACCACTGCCATCACCACCATCATCACCACCATCAACATTATCAACTACATCACCACCATCAACATCACCACCATCAACATCACCAATATTACCACCATCAACACCATCACCACTACCAACACCACCATCAACACATTAACTACTATCAACATCAACACCATCAACATCAACTCCATCACCACCATCAAGATCATCAAGAGCATTAACAAGATAATTAACATCACTAACATTAACATTACCATCAATAATACTACCACTATCATTAGCACCACCACCACCATCATCAATATCATCAACAACAACATCACCATCATCACTATCATCATCAGTATCATCGTTCACATTAACGCCAGCAACATCAACAACATTACCATCAACATCACAAATATTGACGCCATCATCACCATCGTCAACATCACCAACATCGCTTGTTACGAAAACGACCATCTCCTCCACCACTCCCATCTCCACCATCACGACCAACGTTGTGGATTACGTGACGTGGAGCTTACGACACAAGCAGACATGAGGTAAGACACAGAGACACTCACGCACACAGACACTTACACACATACTACACACATACACTCACACACATACTACACACACAGACACTCACACACATACTACACACACTCACACAGATGCACAGAGACACTCACACACACAGACACACACAGACACTCACACACAGAGACACAGAAACACACACAGACAGAGACACTCAAACACACACACAGACACACACAGACACACACACAGACACACACAGACACTCACACACAGACAGACGCAGACAATCACACACAGACACACAGAGACACTCACACACAGACACTCACACACAGACACACACAGACACTCACACAGAGACACTCAAACACACAGACACACACAGAGACACACAGACACTCACACACAGACACAGACACACACAGACACTCACACACATACACACAGAGACACTCAAACACACAGACAATTGCACACAAGACACTCAGATACAGACAGACAGACTCACTCAGACACTCACACAGACATTCACACAGAGACACACACAGACACCAATTCCTGTCATTCGCCACTCAGACACTCACTCACACAGACACACAGACAATTACACACAAGACACCCCGATACAGACACACAGACTAACACTCAAACACACAGACAATTGCACACAAGACACTCGACACTCACACACAGACACACACACAGACACACACAGACAATTACACACAAGACACTCAGATACAGACACACAGATACAAAGATCCTCCGCATAGCCTTAACAAGCTGATGGGGCAAGTGCTGTTAGTGATCACCTATGAAGGCCGGCACTGGCACACAAGGGGGTAGGTGGCCAGCACCACGCCCGGCTGCCTTTGTCTCCCCAGTGCTAGCGATGTTTTACTACACACCGTCACACCAAGTACTTATTTGAGGCTGAGCTGACTTAGATGAGGCCTAAGACCAATTCAGACAATCGCCATTATTGGTGTTGGTGGCTGTGAGCGGGAATCGAATTCAGGTCCCGGGTTCGTAACTCAGCGTAGCGCTAACTGCTCCACACACACACAATCAGACTCACTCCTTTATAGACTCACTCATACTCACTCATTCATATACTCACTCACGCATAGACTCATTAACTCATTAACGCATACACTCACTCGCTCGTTGACTCGCTCACTCAATGACTCACCCACCCATAGACTCACCCACACATAAACTAACTCACTCATAGTCACTCATTCGTAATCTCACTCACTTAAATACTCACTCACCCATTTATTCACTCACTCACTCATAGACTCACTCAGCAATAGACTCACTCATAGACTCACTCATTTATATAATCACTCACCCAGAGATTAACTTAAACTCAATCACTCAAAGATTAACTCATAGACTCACTCACCCAATAACTCACTCACTCATAGACGTATTCACTCATAGACTCACTTTTTCATAGACTCCCTCACCGATAGACTCCCTAACCCATATACTCACCCACTCGTGTACTCACTCACTCACCCATAGACTCACGCAAAAACACCCTCACCTATAGACTTAATCACTTATAGATGACGTCACTTATAGAATCACTCACTTATAGACGCACTCACCTATAGACACACTTACTTTAGAGATACACTCACTCATAGACTCACCCATAGACTCACTCACGCATAGACTCACTCACTCATCCATAGACTCACTCACTCACTCATAGACTCACTAACTCACCCATAGACTCCATCACCCATAGACTCATTCACTCACCCATAGACTCACTCTTTCATAGACTCACTCCCTCATAGACTCACCCATAGACTCACTCACCTTTAAAATAAATCACCTATAAACAATCACTTATAGATTGGCTCACTCACTCATAGACTCACTCACTCACTCACCCATTTACTCCCTCACCCATAGACTCTCTCATCTATAGACTAACTCACCTATAGACAATCACTTATAGATTCCCTCACTCATAGACTCACTTATTCATAGACTCACTCACTCATAGACACCCTCACTCAGAGACTTACACATAAACTCACTCAATCATAGACTCACTCATACACCCATAGACTCAGTCACTCATAGACTCATCCATCGACTCACTCACCTTTAGAATAAATCACCTATACAGTGAGGGAAAAAAGTATTTGATCCCCTGCTGATTTTGTACGTTTGCCCACTGACAAAGAAATAATCAGTCTATCATTTTAATGGTAGTTTTATTTGAACAGTGAGAGACAGAATAATAACAACAAAATCCAGAAAAACGCATGTCAAAATGTTATAAATTGATTTGCATTTTAATGAGGGAAATAAGTATTTGACCCCCTCTCAATCAGAAAGATTTATGGCTCCCAGGTGTCTTTTATACAGGTAACGAGCTGAGATTAGGAGCACACTCTTAAAGGGAGTGCTCCTAATCTCAGCTTGTTACCTGTATAAAGACACCTGTTCACAGAAGCAATCAATCAATCAGATTCCAAACTCTCCACCATGGCCAAGACCAAAGAGCTCTCCAAAGATGTCAGGGACAAGATTGTAGACTTTCACAAGGCTGGAATGGGCTACAAGACCATCGCCAAGCAGCTTGGTGAGAAGGTGATAACAGTTGGTGCGATTATTCGCAAATGGAAGAAACACAAAATAACTGTCAATCTCCCTCGGCCTGGGGCTCCATGCAAGATCTCACCTCGTGGAGTTGCAATGATCATGAGAACTGTGATGAATCAGGCCAGAACTACACGGAAGGATCTTGTCAATGATCTCAAGGCAGCTGGGACCATAGTCACCAAGAAAACAGTTGGTAACACACTACGCCGTGAAGGACTGAAATCCTGCAGCGTCCGCAAGGTCCCCCTGCTCAAGAAAGCACATATACATGCCCGTCTGAAGTTTGCCAATGAACATCTGAATTATTCAGAGGACAACTGGGTGAAAGTGTTGTGGTCAGATGAGACCAAAATGGAGCTCTTTGGCATCAACTCAACTCGCCGTGTTTGGAGGAGGAGGAATGCTGCCTATGACCCCAAGAACACCATCCCCACCGTCAAACATGGAGGTGGAAACATTATGCTTTGGGGGTGTTTTTCTGCTAAGGGGACAGGACAACTTCACCGCATCACAGGAATGATGGACGGGGCCATGTACCGTCAAATCTTGGGTGAGAACCTCCTTCCCTCAGCCAGGGCATTGAAAATGGGTCGTGGATGGGTATTCCAGCATGACAATGACCCAAAACACACGGCCAAGGCAACAAAGGAGTGGCTCAAGAAGAAGCACATTAAGGTCCTGGAGTGGCCTAGCCAGTCTCCAGACCTTAATCCCATAGAACATCTGTGGAGGGAGCTGAAGGTTCGAGTTGCCAAACGTCAACCTCGAAACCTTAATGACTTGGAGAAGATCTGCAAAGAGGAGTAGGACAAAATCTCTCCTGAGATGCGTACAAACCTGGTGGCCAACTACAAGAAACGCCTGACCTCTGTGATTGCCAACAAGGGTTTTGCCACCAAGTACTAAGTTATGTTTTGCAGAGGGGACAAGTACTTATTTCCCTCATTAAAATGCAAATCAATTTATAAAATTTTTGACATGCGTTTTTCTGGATTTTGTTGCTATTATTCTGTCTCTCACTGTTCAAATAAACCTAGCATTAAAAGTATCAACTGATCATTTTTTGTCAGTGGGCAAACGCACAAAATCAGCAGGGGATCAAATATTTTTTTCCCTCACTGTATACTCAATAACATAGATTGGCTCACTCATCCATAGACTAACTCACTCACTCATGGAATCACCCATAGACTCACTCACTTATAGAAAAACTTACTTTTGAGATACACTCAGTCATAGACTCACCCATAGACTCACTCATCCATAGACTCACTCTTTCATAGACTCACTCCCTCATAGACTCCCCCATAGACTCACTCACCTCTAGAATCACTCACGTATAGAATCACTCACCTATAGAATCACTCACCAATAGACTCACTCACTTATAGATTCACTCACTCATAGACTCACTCACATATAGACTCACTCATCCATAGGCTCACTCATAGACTCACTCACTCATTCATAGACTTACTCACTCACTCATAGACTCACCCATAGATTCCCTCACCCATAGACTCACTGCCTCATAGACTCACTCCTAGACTCACTCACCTTTAGAATAAATCACCTATATACTCAATAACACAAATTGGCTCACTCATCCATAGACTAACTCACTCACTCATAGACTCACTCACTCATAGACTCACTCATGGACTCACTCACTCACCCATAGACTCACTCACTTATAGACAAACTTACTTTTGAGATACACTCACTCATAGACTCACCCATAGACTCACTCTCGCATAGACTCACTCACTCATCCATAGACTCACACACTGATAGACTCACTCACCTATAGACTCACTCACCTATAGACAATCACTTATAGATTCACTCACTCATAGACTCACTTATTCATAGACACACTCACTCATAGACTCCCTCACTCATATACTTACACAAACTCACTCAATCATAGACTCACTTACCCATAAACTCACTCACTCATAGACTCACTCACCTATATACTTAATCACTTATAGATTAATTCACTTATAGATTAACTCACTCATAGACTCACTCACTCATAGACTCACTCATAGACTCACTCACTCACTCATAGACTTACTCACTCATAGACTCACTCACTCATAGACTCACTCACCTATAGACAATTACTTATAGATTGACTCACTCATGGACTCATTCATAGACTCACTCATCGACTCACATAGAGACGCAGCCCTCATAGACTGACTTACTCACCCATAGACTCACTCACTCACCCTTAGACTCGCTCACCCATAGACTCCCTCATCCATAGACTCACTCATTCATAGACTCACCCATAGACTTACTCACCCAAATACTCACTCACTCACCCATAGACTCACACATAGACTCACGTACCCACCCTGAGTATCACTCACTCACCCAT